ATCACGCCGCGTCGCGCGGCGCGAGATTACCCTTCCGTACACGTTCGACGGTTTCCGAAGCAACGACGACTTCCTCGTCATTGAGATGAATTACGCGTTTGACTGCATCCTGGGTATGCCGTTGCTGACGCGCTATCAACCAGAGATTGACTGGTTGGCCCGGTCGGTCAAGCGCCGCAGTGATTATGATGTGAGCGAGGTGTTCACGCACCTCCTTGTCGCCCAGAAGGATTGGCCTCACGTCACCGTCGTGGACCGGGTCATCCACGACGCACGTTGTGCACAGAGTGAGCGATGGCCCTCTCTGCACGGCTTGCGCAGTGCTGTTAACTGACGAGTCCCCGCGGCGCCGCGGGGATGAAGACCAACTGGCGGTCGAGCAGGGGCTCCCGCAGATGTACGAGACGGCGGTCGAGCAGGGGCTCCCGCAGACGAACGAGATGGCGGTCGAGCAGGGGCTCCCGCAGACGAACGAGATGGCGGTCGAGCAGGGGCTCCCGCAGACGAACGAGATGGCGGTCGAGCAGGGGCTCCCGTCAATTGAGCCGGTGGTCGAGCAGTTGGCGCTCCCGCTGAACACTACCGCGGTCGAGCAGGGGCTCCCGCTAGAGGGGGGTGACATCTCGTCCAGCGAGAGCGACTCATCATCCTCGAGTTCGCACTCGAGGCGGCGAAAGAGGAAGTCGAAGCGGCGTCGGCTGAAACCTCGCCGAGAGCCCGTACCAAGTGACAGCTCACCGACGGAGTCGGTCTGCGTGCTTGAGTATGTGGAAGGTACCTCTGGCCGCCGACGAACACTCGAGCTTGCAAACCCGCCTGGCGAGGCAGGGTCGATCACTCGACTTCCAGGTCTCTCCTGGAAGAACTTCCTTTCGCGGCTTCAAGGACGATGAAATCGAACAGGTTTGCCTGATCACCGACGCCGATTCGGCGCCGCTCGAAGTGAATGCAGTCAGTGACGGCGACGCTCCCTCGCGCCCAAAGAGCGCTGAGCCGAAGTCGGTCCGCGAGGAGCGCTTCGCAGCGCAGTCTTGGGACGCGCTACGCGAATCCGGCAATCCAGTCTACGAGACCGCCCGCGAATATGAAGATGTGTTTCCGGATAAGATCCCAGCTGAGTTGCCAGCTGACCGAGGAATTCGCCACGAGATCGATCTCGTGCCCGGCTCGAAGTATTGTGTGACGCGGCAGTGGCCGCTCCCGCGAGATCAGGTCCAAGCTATCGATGACTTCTTCGAGAGCCGCCGCAAGGCGGGTCATGTGCGTGAGAGCACATCGCCGCACTCCAGTCCGACCTTCTGTGTGAAGAAAGCCACAAGCGGATGGCGCATCGTCCATGCCTTCAACAAGCTGAGCGACGCTACCATCCCTGCCCAGACGCCGATTCCTCGGAAGGACATGGTGCTCGACGCAATGTCGGGTAGTGAGGTCTTCAGCGCCATCGACTTGACCGATGGGCTCTACCAAATCCTCATGAGGCTGAGCGATATACCGCTCACAGCGGTAAGCACTCCCAGTGGTATGCTCTGGGAGTGGCTTGCTATGCCGCAAGGGTTGAAGAATGCTCCCGCCACGTTCAATCGCATGGTATCCCATGTGCTGCGCCCGCTCCGCGACTTCGCACCGAGTTATTTCGATGACATCTTCGTACACAGTCGCGCTGAGGGAGGCCTCAGCGCGCTTGAAGTCCACTTGAAGCATCTGAGGCAAGTCTTCCAAGCGATGCGCGAAAACAAGCTGTATGCCAACTTGAAGAAGTGTATATTCTGCGCGCCGGAGATTCCGGTGCTTGGCTGCTTTGTGAGCAAGAACGGCGTCCGCGCCGACCCCGAGAAAGTGTCGTCGATATGTGCGTGGCCTACGCCACAGAATCCCACTGAACTGCGTCAGTGGCTGGGTCTCGCAAATTATCTCCACAAGTACACGAAGAATTACACCGGATAGATCCAGCCGCTCTCTTCGTTGTTGAAGAAAGATGTGTCGTGGTCGTGGACTTCCGCACATCAAGCCGCCTTCGACTCGGTGAAGAAGAGTCTCGCCGAGGCCCCAATCCTCGCGCTCCCGGATGACTCAAAGCCTTTTCACGTCGTCTGCGACGCGGAGCGATTTTGCCATCGGCTGTGCGCTGATGCAATTCGATGAAGAAGATCGAGAGCGTGTCGTAAGCTACCAGTCTAGGCAGATGAAGCCGGCGGAGCGCAACTACCCTGTTCACGACAAGGAGCTCCTTGCGATGCGCTACGCTCTGATCAAGTTCAGAGTGTACTTGTTGGGTGAGGATACCTTCGCGGTGTACACCGATCATGCATCGCTGAGGACAGCGATGAAGAGTCCTCATCTCTCCCAGCGGATGGCCCGCTGGCTTTCGTTCTTCTCCGAGTACAACTTCGTTGTCCACTACAAACCCGGCAAGAACAACATTCTCGCCGACGCTTTGTCTCGGCGTCCCGACTACGACCCACGCGGTGCATTGGGTCGACAAGCTTCGCTGGATGAAGACGATGTAGACGAGTGTGCCACGTGCGAGGCGTCAGGCGTCAACCTTGACGAGCGTTCTCCCCGGTAATGCCACTTCGCGACGAGATCCGAGCTGCTTACGAACATGACTCGACGTGCTCCCAGTATCCTGAAGCATCTCCGCTCTCCCAGCGCCGACACACTGGGAGCCCTTTCCCGCTCTGTACGAAACAAAATCCACCGATATCGTCTCGAGGACGAGCTGCTGGCGTACAGCATCGACAACTTCGATGCCCCACGTGTCGTTGTCCCTAACGACCCCGATCTGCGCTCACGGATTATCCATGAGTTTCATGATGCCCCGCTGGGCGCTCATCTCGGTCGCGAGATGACATTTGCCGCTGTGTCACGCGACTTTTATTGGCCACACCTGTACAAATAAGTGCGTAAGTGGGTGCGCACCTGCGAGACCTGCCAGCGCGTGAAACCTGCCTCGTCTTCGCAGGCTCCCTTGCGCCCTCTACCAGTGGCCACCGAGGCCTGGCGCTCGGTGTCGATGGACTTCATCTTCGGGCTCCCACCCGATGCTAAAGGACGATCAGGTGTCTTGGTATTCGTAGACCGCTTCAGCAAGATGGCTCACCTGATTCCGGTGTCGGATGCGATCACCGCGGCAGATACCGCGGTGCACTTCCTCGATGCTGTCTTCCGTCATCATAGCCTTTCCGAATCTATCGTCTCCGACCGCGACCCGCGCTTCACGTCGGCCTTCTGGTCAAAGCTCTTCGAGCTACTAGGCTCGAAGCTAATGATGTCCACTGCAGCCCATCCGGAAACGGACGGCCAGACGGAGCGCGTAAATCGCGTCCTCGAAGACGTCCTTCGAAGCTACGCGACGTCGTTCTCCAGCTGGAGCTCGTTTCTGCCACTGGCCGAGTTCGCTCTGAACAACGCGGTACACGCATCGACTGGGGCTGACGCCCTTCTTCGTTAATAACGCGCGACACCCGCGTGTCCCTGCTCTCCTCGCCGTGGGCCATCCCACAGCGCCATGTGTCTCCACTCTGGGTGGGGAAGAAGCTGCCGACAAGCCGTCTACTCCATCTGCGATGTCTCCGGCGGCTACACCGGTACTGGGTCAACCGGTACATACACCGGTTGCTAATGATATCTCGAGTGTATCCCCTGCTCCCACGTCGGTCAACGCAGTGACACGCTCCGCATCGAGCCCACTTGCGCCAGCTAACTACGCGCCGAAGCATGCGGCGCGACCAATCGACTCCGCAGTCGTCTCCGACTTCGTACTACAGCGCCAAGCGGTCACCCGCTATGTTCGTGACGCACTGCAGGACGCAGTGGACAAGCAGAAGGAGAACGCTGATAAGGCTGGCCGCAAGAACACAGCCACGTTTACGACAGGCGAACGAGTGCTCCTGTCGACTGAAGGTATCAGAAACTCTGCGGTTATCAGCCTCGGCGCGAACAAACTCGCGCCGCGCTTTATTGGGCCGTTTACGGTGATCAAGACCATTGGTGACGCTTACACTCTGGATATTCCTTCGACACTACGGCTACATCCGACGTTCTACGTCGGACGTTTAAAGAAATACCATCCGTCCGAGATCCCGGACGCTGATTTGTCCTCGAGTGACGCGGCAACTTTCCAGCGAGATGGTCCTCCTCCTTTGATCGACTCTTCGGGCGCTCAGCGTTGGATCGTTGAGCGAATCGTCGACCACGACTTTCGCCAGTGTCATGGAACCCGTGACGGGGACACTGAAGCGTTTCCACAGGGTCGCGCCCTGCGGGACAAGGAACAACACTATCGCGTGCGTTGGCTGGGACTCCCCCCAGGTGAAGATACTTGGGAGCCGCGCAGTCGTTTGCGTAAAGACGTTCCCGACATCGTGAACGAATACGAGAAGACACTCACGTTCCGAAGCGTGAGTGAGCCGGGTGCTGATATCCGCGGTGAAGAAGGCGACCAGCCTCCGTGGGTACACGGAGGCACTCGCCATGATGATTAAGAAGAAAACTGGAGCTGACGCTGGGATCGAACCGGTGACCAGCTACACGAGAACTCGGCACTGTACCGCTGAGCCACTCGGTGAGTAAGCCGAGTGAACAAGTGAGTGAGTAAGTGAGTGAGTGAGTGAGTGAGTGAGAGCGAGTGAGTGAGTGAGTGCGGCGTGAGTGACGCGAGGTTCCACGACGACGAGTGAAACCCAGCTCGCAGGTCACCTATATTCCGACGTCGCAGTCGCCTGGCCCTACAAGATACTTCTTCGTACGCTGTGCAGTCGCACATCGTCGCTCAGTCAACTGAGTGAAGTGGTTGTCGTCCCCGTATTCGCAGTCTCAAGTACCTCGTGCGCTGTCTTCTTGATCCTCGTGTCTGCTAGAGCATCGTGGACGTTCCACGATGAGCGTATCCCCAAGCACAAGGAAGTCTCCAGTCGGCGCTCAGTCTTTGCGTCTGTGGTGATCATCGTGCCAGCGTTTCCTTGAAAAAAAACACATGCTCGTGCACTTGTCGCGGAGTTTGATCTCCGTGGGAATCGAACTCACGCCTACTGCGCGTAAGCTTGCTCCGTTACCCGCTCAGACACGACGTCGCAGAAATTTTGATGCGCCTCAGGACAATTCCAAAGGTCCAAGCTTCACTCCACCAGAACCTCACCTGGCGCCTCGAAGCCCACGTGTGTCGACACCAGCGCCAGCGACGGTGGCCTCCAAGCTGTTGTCTAAGATGGCTTCTCGCTCCGCACGCTCGCTGCCGAGCGTTGTTTCTCTTGTTGATACGCCAGTGGCTTGATGTCGTGACTGTCGCCGATGTCGCCGCTGTCTCCGCCGTTCCAGCCGTCTTCTCCAATGTTCTTCATCAGTGCTTATGCTGCGTAAGTGCAACTTTAAGAGGGGGGGGTAATGTAATGGGCCCCTCCATTACATAAGTAGGTAGATTTCCTTACATAAGTAGGTGCATCAGCACACGACTAGCGTGTGCTGAAATGCTGTCATGCCATTGGCTGATATATGGGGAGCCAGACCCATTATTAGCCAATTAGACTATGACGTGTATTTGAGTGGCCAGGGCTGTGGCCTTGGTCCTAAAATAAAGTCCGAGTTGATTTTTCCTTAAACCTAAGCCTCAGTCGTCCTATTGCGAGCTTCCTCAACACTATAGTGTAAGCAAGTAACGGAGTAAATACCTGGCCCGTTACAACTCCCATCCAGCCACACAGCACTCCTTCGACGCTCTCGTACACCAGGCGGGGCAGGTAGATTAGAATAGACAGTAGTAATGACGTCAGCAAGTAGCTCCCAGCGATAAAGTCTCCAACTCTATCCACAACAGCTACCACAGATTCGCTAGTGGCGCGAGCGTACCGGCAGGACGTTCCCCATAGCAAAAGACTTGCATCTGGAACGTACAGGCAGCACGAATGGTGGAACGCCTCACACCACTTAAGGCACATACGACCTGTAATCCCGAATCGGGACTCGTAGTCCTGTAACACCGCGATAAGAACCAAGAACAGTAGCTTCACTAGCGCGCACGCGTACTCCGGGGGTGGCACAGCTGCGGCATGGGCATTTCAAGCCGCCATCAGGTAGCGATCACAGCAAGTGTACCAGAAAAAGTAGATGGCACGCACGTTCTCGATCGTTCCGTCGAGGAACGCCCACGACACGTTCCGCAGAGGCGTCGTTGCAATTCAGATTACAATCCCCATCACAGCGCTGCCGACGACTCTCATCTCGTCCGCCACTTCGAAGTCCATCGCCCAGCTCGCCTGTTCCGCCCATTTCGCAACCGCTCCCAGCATCGCCATCAATCGTCAAGTGACATCGTCACAACAGCAGCTCCTCCAGACCCGTTAGGAAGGTTCTTCAACCGAAACCTTGTCCGCCCAAGTCACCAAGCATCATTGCGTCCCTCAGTCAACGCCACGTCCCAACTGTCGAACCTTCTCGCGCGCCCCTTGGCAGCCATCAAGTAAAACATTTCAGTTTTCGAGTTTCTTTCATTTCGCATTCCGCTCCCGCCATGTCCACGCGAGTTTCCGCCGCCGAGCTGAGGCGTTTCCGGGCGTTCTTCAACGCTGCCCTCGACCATGAGGAGCAGGGCACCCCAGGGGACACTGCGCGGGCCTTCCAGCAGCAGTTCTAGACCGAGCTGCGCGCGCGCCTGAGCGCCAACAGCATGTCGTCGGGTCTCCAGTTCTTGGACCAGCTCGCCGAGGACATCCTGAATGGTCAGACCGACGCTTCGCTCCAAGGAACCGTCGTGGCCCTCCCCGCGCCGTCAGACTCCGCTCCCTCTTCAGGCTCCGCTACGGCGTCGACAACGTCGTCGATCAAGCAGTCGAAGTCGCCTACCAAGAAGACACCCAAGTCGCCTAAGTCGCCAGCGCGAGGCAAACGTAAGTCCAGCGGTGACAACTCTACCTCCAAGTCGTCCGCAAAGAAGGCTCGCGTCGTCAGCAAGTCCAAGAAGTCGCACGTTCCATCCAACGAGTTTGGTCATCTGCTCGACGTGAGTCGCACTGCTCCAGCTCCCGTTCGCCGGGCAATTGCTGCCATCTTGGCGAAGGCAGAGGCCCTTGGTAAGAAGCCCTGGCGCCTCGCGTACCCTTGGACCGGACGTCCCATGTGGTACGATCCAATCAAGTTCAGTCAAGTATATCGCACGCACTGGCGTTTCTGGATGACACATCGCCGTGCTTTCTGGGAGTGGGCCCTACACGCTCCTCTACCACTGCAGCGGCCATGGCTCAGTGTCGTAAGCTGAAGATGCGCGCCGTTCAAGCCCGCTGGGCCTTCACCAGCCTTTGCATAGAGACATGGGGATTTTATGTCTTTCTCGAGATGTTGGAGAAGCGTCCTGAGATGTATTGGCTCGGGGGCCAGCCCGGCAGAGCCACATGCGATGGCCTCCCCTACAACAGATCCATAGCCGAGGACCTAGCGACCCTGAAGCAGAAGGACAAGGAACGCTACGACGCCATGCTCGAGAACGCGCTGGACCCGTCGAATATCGACACTTACGGGTACCCCAGCATGCGCTCTTTGTTTGAGTCCACGGACGCGCTGAATCTGTCTGCAGACGAGAAGAGCCGGCTCTCCCTTGCTGCCCTAGCGCGAGTTCGCCGCGACACCATGTCAAGCACGAAACCAAACGTAACTTGGGCTGGTGAGAAGAACGAGGAACCGTGGCAGACGCTCGTAAACAATCACGCCGTCAAGCTGGCTCAAGACGACATTATGGCCCAGATCAGCGCGGGAACGTACGAAGTCCCAACTGTCCGTCCACCGTCCGGTACGGAACGTCGCCGCGACGAATGGTTGAGCTCGAAGATGAAGGCGAGGACGAAGAGAAGGAAGCTGCGGCCGACGGCGACGACGCGTCAGGTAATGACGACGAGGAGTCCGAAGCCGACGACGACGAAGACGAGCAGGAAGAGGAGGAATCCGTCGAGCACGAGGACGGCGACGCGGAAAGCGATAAGGACGAAGATGAGGACGACCAGAAGAAGGCCGCCAAGTAGCCCGTCTTTGCGATGTAGCCGTTCGTAGCTCTCGTTCCCTTTTAACCGTAACGTTCCGTCGTTTTTCGTCGTCGTGCCTTGTTCCTGGCTCTTCGTTTTTATCGTCAACGGATCTCTCTTAAAACGCTTCTTCTCGTTCCAAACCAACGCATCCGAACTCCCTCGGACTCCAAACTACCGCTTCATAAACTTCCTCACTTTCCAGACTGATTGCTCACAAACTCCTTCACGTCCCAAACTGATGCTTCACAAACTCCTTCACGTTCCACCCCGACACACTCAGTCTTCGTATGCTCGTGACATTCCCAAAATACCAATTCCGTAAGACCCAAAGAACAACCCGTGGTCGCTCCAAAATAGAAAATATGCACACGTCACTCAGTGTTCTGAGACTCAGCGAGTCCCAAACACTCTCGTGCAGTCCCACAGCTGCACACATTCTAACCGGCTCCCGTTGCCAGCTAGAACAACACCTCAGCATCGTCGACGTCAGCATTGGCTTCGACCAATCTGACATTCCGACGCAACTCCGGCAGACCTCTCTTCTTCCGATCTGCGTCCTCAAAGGCACGTATCATCGTTCCAAACTCCGGTGCCAACGCCGCTCGAGACAACCAGAGCGTCTCATACGTGGCGGTGAGTACGAGATACTGCAACTCACGCTTTTCGACTCTCTCCGCGATCACGTCCACTATCGGCGACGACACTCCCGAGAACGCAGTTTCTTCTTCGCCAATAGAGAGACGTTCCACAAAGCTCGTCGACGGCAAGTCCTCGATGTCCAATGGACCTGTACCGTCCTCATCCTCTTCTTCTTCGACTCTGTCAGGCTTCTCGTCTGCGTAGGGTCGGCTCCAGCGTCCTTGAAATCGCTTCAGACGGTTGACGTTCACCGTGACGACTTTGTTCGGGTGCGTCGGATTCGCGATCCTGTAGGCGTTCTCCCCGACTTGGCCAACAACACGGTAGGGACCGTGCCAGGAGAACGCCAGCTTCTTCGTCCTGCGTTCCCCCACTCGGGCTCTAAAGTATTGGTACACCCAGACAGCGTCTCCTTCAGCATATGTCACCTTCGCTTGGTTGTCCAACCTCTGCTCGTGTCGATCCTGAGCCTTGAGTAGCTGTCGTTCCACAAGACGACGAGAGTCACGCAACGAGCGATACAACTTCCGGCGGTACGTCGCAACTTCGTTACTCTTCCAGTCCCTTCCCGTGTTTAGGAACGCCAAGTCGATAGGTAGCACAGGATCACGTCCATACAGACTAAAGAACGGGGTCCTTCGTGATATGCCGTCCGGTACGCAGTAGGACCCTTGGCAGGTACACGTCCCAATCCGTCTGCGTCTTGTTCACAAACATACGTAGCATGCCCATCAACGTTCCGTTGAAACGTTTCACCAGACCTTGTGTCTGCGGGTGTTACGGCGCTCCAAACAACTTCTTAATCCCCAACGTCTGATACAGTGACTTGGTCAGGTTGGACGTGAAGTTGGAACCACGATCACTTAGTAGACGTTCCGGTACTCCATGTCGGCAGATAACGCCCTCTATCATTGCGTTCACAAACGAGATCGTGTCCAACGAAGCGACCGCAAATGCCTCGACACATCTTGTGAAATAGTCCACAAACACCAGGATGTACTTGTTGCCACGAGGAGTGACGACCAATGGTCCAATTGCGTCGACTACAAGTAGCGAGAACGGACCAGATAAGTCTTGAACTGGCATCCGTTGCATCAGTCCAGCTCTCCAGGGTCTATGTCCCTTTCCACCACTGCAGATAGAACATTCACGCACGTACTCGGTCACATCCTTCCTCCACCCATGCCAATACGCGTGGCGTCTCACCTTGTCCATCGTCTTCGTTCTCTCTAAATGTGCAGAGAAGATGTCTGCGTGACAATAGTGCAGGACCGTCTCAATGAACGGTAACGGGACAGTTGGAACACACACAGTTCTGGCTGGACCGGCACGTGCTTCTAGATGTACGAGACGTGCCAGAACCCCGTTTCGAATCAAGTAGTGCGGAGACATCTTCAGCACACTCACTCTCAGTTGTGGATCAA